AGGGAAGCCCTGGAGTTTATTCTTGACATACATTCAGGGGAACAGGGAAATTGGAGATCAAATAACATCACAGTGTTGATGGTAACTGAAGAACTTACTTCACTTTGATTCCATCCACATATCCTTAAGTCAGAAGCTCCCTCATGAAGAGACTCCAATCTTAGGAAGCAAACACCAGCGCCACCTCTCCCACACTCAGGGAGCAGTCCTGGTGTTCTCTTCCTCCTCTCCAGTGGTGGCAGTGCCCATTCAACCAACAAGTATTCACACAGTTGGCACCTGTAAGCTGGAGTGATTGACACAACCCCCTGAGAGGCAGAGAGTTCAGCAACATGGACCAGGAGCAAGGGGGCTGAGCCCTCATCTGGAGCAGCTGTAGGGGCAGGAAAACATGAGGACCGGAGAAGGGAAGTAAGGTACAAGGTCATACAGTCAACTAATGACAGAGCCAGTACAGAATCCTGAATCTTAGTTTTGGTGATGGGGATGGGGAAGGATGCACATACCTTAGGTCATTTGAACCTGTTCTTCAAAGCCAGAAACATGGCTGGGACTTGCCAGATTGAGTGCAGCAGTATCCTGGCAGTGGCAGCAGTAGAAACCTAATTGTCTTACTTTCCTCTTAACCTTGGCCCCAATCTGCTCTGCCCCAGTCCAAGAGAAGGCAGGGCTGTGACCCACCTTTCTCCTCACCTGCTCCACCCTGTTCCCCAACTCCTGACTTGTAAAACCCTCAGTGTAGGTGGGATGAGAATGCTGCCATGATCTTTTGGAGACCCAGTGGTGCAGACTCTGGTTGAGGAGTGTATTAACTATATTTTCTTATATTCTGTGTTCCTGATGCTCTGGCATCTGGGGCCTCACTACCCCTCCCAGGGTTAGTTCTTAGAGATAGCAAAGGACTCACCTGAGAGGGTACCTTTCATATGTAAACCAACCAATCCAAAGCCCATACCCCCCTGCCCCCAACCACCATCTTTATTGAACTCTCACGCAACAAACCAATATTCCTCCTGCCCTAATCACCTCAGGGTCGGGTACCAGATAACCCATGACAGCCCCAACACCACAGAGCCTGCTGAAATTATTCAAACTAACCAATCACCCACTCCTTCCCATGAACACCATAATAAAGGCTTTTATCCATGCTTTCCCCTCACTCCTCTGCCTCCTGACCAACACTGGTGTTTCCCCATGTGGCCCTGCATGACTTGGTGTACCCAGTCTGCTTGGGAACTGTGAGTAAAAAACTATCTTTTCTTTCTTTCTTTTTCGGCCATGCCCTGCGGCATGTGGGATCTTAGTTCCCCAACCAGGGATCAAACTTGCACCCCCTGCAGTGGAAGTGCAGAGTATTAACCACTGGACCACCAGGGAAGTCCCCAAACTATCTTTTCAATAGTAATCATCTCCTGATCTGTTGGCCTCACCATGCCTGAATAATAGTAAAACTTACTTTTTAAAATCAGAGAGAAAAAAGGGAGGAGGGAGGCGCTATGGAAAAGAAGGGAGGAAATAGTGGAGAGGAAAGGGGAAGAAAGGGGAAGTAAGGAAGTGTCACTGTCTGGATTTGCCATCTTCCTCTTCTCTCTTCCCTCCACCTTGGTCTCCCCATCATGTCCCCTACCCTCCTTTTTCCCTGGGTTCTATCTCATTCTATACAATGAATGATCTTTGAACCAAAAGAATGAGGTTTCCCATTTGCATGGAAGACTGGAGAGAAAGTCTTCATTCAAGGGCAGAAGTGGTTACCAGTTCGGGAACTTGATAGAAAGGGTGATGATAAATAGAAGATGTCTGAGAAAGCTGCATCCCTTATCCAGGTTCATCTATACAACCTCAGGCATGAGGGGAGAGGATTCACCTTTGGTGAAAACTGAGCCCAGAGAGGAGTCCTGGTGCCTCAACCAAGTCTGTGCATTTCTTTACTCATCCAGAAAAGATGTTTGGAAGACAGTGGAGACCTTTGAGGATGCTGCAAACATTTTACTGTGGGAAAGTATAACGGTATTTTGGCTGGGGTAGAGCTGAGTCTTAAGTGCACTGGTATGTTGCATTTGGCCACATTACCCCTAGAGGTCCTCTGAGTCCTGGGATCAATGGCTTCCTGATTCTCAGGGACTGAGGAACAGCCCAGCCATTCCCTTTGATTTGCCCTCCTTATGGGAACCCCTGCAGTGAAGGAGGGTTGGAGGACCAAGCCAGGCACAGACCTGTGGGATGGACTGCCTGAAGCCCTGAAGAGAGATGGACTGGAAAGAGAGACAGTGAGAAAACTCTGAGAAAACTCACCAGGAGTGGAAGAATTCTGTCAGAGGGATAAGTGTGAGCCTGTATGGGGGGTGGGGGGTGGGGGTGGTGCATGAAGCAGGAACAGTGGTTGGTTCCAGGTCCAGCGTGATACTGTTCTTGATATCCCTGGATTCAGCACATACACACTCTTCAGTGCCTAGGTGTTCTGGGAAAGAAAGCACAGGGAAAAGAACTTTCATAGGAAATTCCTTTGTGGAGATGGTCACAAGGAATATTTTTCTACATGCCAGGGAGGAAGAAGAATGCAGAGACCAGTGGACCAGAGGAAGGAACACTGGCATGGTGGTGTCCTGGGGATGATGTGGAGGTCACCAGCACACCAACAGAATCCACCCAGCACCAGAGCAGAATTGCACATGGAAGCTCTGATTTTATGTGCAAGAACATTCTAACCATGAGGTATCTCCACCCCCACCATCCCTAGTTCGAGATGCCTAATGGGAATAATGAGGAGGGGACATCATAAGAAAGGCCAGGCACAAGGTATGGAGATTATGGCTTATGACTCATCATTACTCTTCTTCCTTCTTTCTCTCCAAACTCCTTCATCCTTGCTTTCTTCTTTCTCTCTCTTTTTTCTTCCAACTTCTCTTTCTTTTTCCTCTCTCTGTCCCCCCCTTTCCTTCCATACTCCCCTCTACTTTTTCTCCTTCCTCTCTCTTCCCTTTCTCTAACCAAACATCCACTGCACAATCATACTGTTCCTAGATTTTCGCTAGGCTTTGGGGAGCACAGAGATAAATATATGTGGCAGAAACCTGTCTTAATCTCTTCCAGCTATCAGCCCCAAGAGACTTGCATGTGAATGGACAATTATAATTCAACATGGTTAACGCCAGGTCCCAAGGAGCCCAGGGCAGGAAACACCTAAAAGAGGGATGCTGCACTTGAGTCTTGAGAGGGTGAATAGGAATTAGGCAAGTGGAAAAGAGGGCAGCAATGGGGGCTCAGGACATCCCTTAGAAAGGGAACAGCATGTAGTAGAGGCCTGACAGAGTCTTCGATCTTAGGGGAACCTCAGATAGGGCAAGTAGATGCAGTTCCCCAATGTCTTCTTTAAATCTCACAAATGGCACCCAGGTTCAGTGGTCTTGGCAGACAGTGTGGAATGAGATCACTGTCAAGTGGGAGAATCCCAGAATGATGGGCTCTCTGCTCTTATATTCTCAGCCCTGTCATCACTCAGAATCAGATTTTATCATCAACACAGTAGTTTTTCTACTTGGGAACCATCTCATCCTTCCCAACATCTGGGTTCTTGGCTTTGAAATCTTGCTGTAAAGTCACTGCTGCACTATCTCCTTACATGCATGTCACTGCAGGCCCTAATAATTTTCCACTTTTGTCCCTTTAGGGGATTTCTGTGGGCAGTCTGATCACTGGCTATGAAACAGTGCTACTCACTGTGGGCCGGTGCTTGTCCATGAGTGTTTGTTATAGGTCTGCAATGAGATAAGCACAGAAATTGAGCGCTTAGAAACTTTTATAGAAATTTAACATTGATGTGACATTCAAGCCCATAATCAGTTTCATATTTTATTCTTTTTTACAAAAGTATTAGTTCATGAGGAATTGGAAAATTTATATATAAAACAACAACAAGGGCTTCCCTGGTGGCGCAGTGGTTGAGAGTCCGCCTGCCGATGCAGGGGACGCGGGTTCGTGCCCCGGTCCAGGAAGATCCCACATGCCGCGGAGCGGCTGGGCCCGTGAGCCATGGCTGCTGAGCCTGTGCGTCCGGAGCCTGTGCTCCGCAACGGGAGAGGCCACAACAGTGAGAGGCCCGCGTACCGCAAAACAACAACAAAACCAGTCCCTTATTGCAGGCGGTGGTACAGGCAATCACGATTCAGGACCGTGGACAGCACCTCATCCTGCCTCCCAAACCCTGAGTCATCACCCCTGCTCCCAGCTCCTGGTGAATGCCCTTGATGAACAGCTAGTTCCCAAATCCAACAGATGCTTTTCAGCTGTTGTCTTAATTGACCTTTCTAAAGTGTCTGCCTTTGTTAACACCTGCATCTATCATTTTCGTTTAAAGATCATTCCCAGTGAAGGAATAAAAACGTTCCCCTAGAATTATCAATGGACCACACTGATAAAGTGAGGGGACAATTTCTGGTAGCTAAAACATATTATTAATCTTAAAACACTGTATTGACATTGCTCCTTTGCTTTTCAGTGGGCTCTTAGAGGACAGGAGACAGGTTTTACTCATATTCATGTCCAACATGTATCGTAAAGTCATGCCCAGAGTTTGTGTGAGCAAATGCCTGCCGCTTATCACTGGATGACCTTGGGCAAGTTATTACTCAACCTCTCTTTGCCACTGCTTCCCCAACTGTTTAACTGGAATCCTATTAGAGTCTACCTTATATAGTTTTTAAAATATTAATTTAGTTAATACATTTAAAAGTGCTTAGAACAGTGGCTGGCACAGAAGAATAAAAAGTATTATTATTTTCATCATCATTTTATATTACTGAATAAACCAATGAGCATCTATTATCATCAGGCTCTAGATGGTGGAGGACTTCATCCCACCATCTGGGAAGGGCTACTGCTTTATATTGACGTTTGAGTATACACTGCCCTACTCAGAGCACCGTGAGCTCCGGAATTCCTGAGATTTGCTATTCCTGGGTCCCTGTCTTGTCATGTTGGCCCCACCCTCCCACACCTTTCAGTTGTGTATTCCCTTTCCTTTTCCAGTTGCATTCCTGCCGACTTCTTTCACCCTCCAGGCTCACTCACAGTCTTTTCTTTTGGTCCCACTGGATGAAGAGTCCCACCTGTGCAAGTTGGTCTGGCAGCTCCTGCCCCCTCAGTGATTCGGCCCAACTTACCTCCTCCCTCCATGTGCCCATAAACTTTCTTCCCCTAGTCCCTTAACTGGCCTACTGCTGTTAGGCAATTCTAGGTCTCTCTACCTAATTTGGTCTTGCTCCGTCACTGCTCAGGGAGATTTTAACCATCCTTCAGAGCTTGAGTCAAACTTACCCCTTCCATAAAAGGGACATTTCTCCGTTCCTTTCCTGAATTACTACGTCAGCCTCTGAACCCCACAGGGCTTCTCTGCAGTTCTCATTCTGTCTCACCATCACTTCTAACCTCCTCGAGGTTCAGGTCCAGGTCATGCCTGGACATGCCCACACTCTCAACACCCATCTCAGGCAGCCGCTCCTGCAAGTTTCAGAGGGCTAGTCCCTTCCTTCTCTCTGAGGCTGTTACCACATCAGCAAGATGGGGCTAAGAGCAACCTCCTCCTTGGGTTTCTGCGCGCATTAAGCGAGGCGGGGCAAGGAAACCGCTGGGCAGCGCCTCGCTAGTGGGGTGGGAGCTCGCGTGGCCCCTCCGCAACGCGAGTCCGCGCGGGGACTCCTGGGATTTGTAGTCCGTGCCCGAGTTGCAGTCTCGCAGGCCCAGCAAAGACACCCTCGGGCTCGGCTGGGAAGGTGGCGGGGGCCTGCGGGACGCAAGGCGCTGGGCCCGGGGCCGGCCCCGGGCGGGGATGGGGCCGAGCGAGGGCAGCCGAACTGGCCCTGCCGCTGCTGCTGGGGCAGCTGCTGGCGCTCACAGGCGGCGGAGACGCGTTCTACCTCGAGGTCAGCGAGCTGGAGGAGAAGTGCTTCATCCAGGAGATCCCCGATGGCACAGTGGTCATAGGTGCGCCCGAGCCATGCCCTCCCCGCACCCAGAGTCCCGGCCTTGCCCTCCCCGCACCCAGAGTCCTGAGAGGGAATGGGGATGAGGCCCCGCGGGATCAGCTCAGGCCCATACCTCCCCTCTGCTGCCGGGGGTAGGCACGGGTGGGAAATGGGTGGACAGCAGTGTGGGCAAAGCATGCTCTCCGTTGCCTGTGCCGGAGTTGGGGGGCGCCGAGGAGGCAAGTCTGATCCAGACCCGGATGACAGCAGAAAAGCGGGGCAGGAGAGGGAAGGAGAGAGGCAGAGGGTTGTGGTCAAGCCCCGCAATCAGACACCCGGATCTTCCTGTTCCTCCCCCCGTCCCCCGTGACTCCTGGAGGTCCTGGGCGGGCTCTTGGTCGTGAGTGTGGATGGGGATGCATTCAGGCTGCCTCCCCATTAGGTAACTACAAGACCGAGCTATACGACCCTGCTATGGAAAAGTACCAGCCCTCCCCGCAGTGGATCAATTTGTTCGTGTTTGTGAAGGACCCCGAGAACAAGGTGAGGTAGGCCTTGACTCCCTGCAGCCCTCCCACCCCCACGTCTCCAGCGTCATTGTCTAGTCCTCCCTAGTCCTCCATTTCTCAGAGGAGGGCTCATCTCCTCACAGGCAAGAGGGCTCAAGAAAGGCCATGCTCTTTGCAGTCTGTAGAGTATTGTGTACTAGCAGTGCTGGGATCTGAGATTTTCAAGCCCAAACTGATGCCATTTTCCTCACACCCTCCCTACTGGTCTGGCCTGTGGGGATCAGAACCTGGGATACCCCCAGAGTTCCTCTCCTAGAAGCAGGTTTCTGGTCAGCTTCTCTGTGCTCACAGAGGCTGTTTCCTCTAGAATCTGCTGGCTCGTCAGTATGGCCCTCGGGGCAGCTTTACCTTCACTTCTCAGTCTCCCGGAGAGCACCAGATATGCCTTCACCTCGAGTCCATCCGGTTCGCCCTCTTCTATGATGGCAAGCTGGTGAGTATGGAGGGGAAAGTCACCAACCCTTAACATCTCAGTCCCTTGGGTGAAAAGGGTTCAGTAGGCGGTGCCTCTTGAGGAGGGCTGGGCTTTCCATGAAGTAAGCATACAGAAGACAGGTCCTGAAGAATGAGAGGGGACCCAGGAAGGAGTCACTCTGACTTAAAATCATCGCTCGGCTCCCTGCCATCCCTAGAATAAAGACCAAGCTTCATAATGTAAAATTCAGAGCTGTCCAGCAGCTGAACGCTCCCAGGCTCTTTATTACCACCTCCCACTGACATGGAACTCCTAGGAGCTGCTTGTCTCAAACACTGAGTCATACACATTTTGTTCTGCACATTTTGTTCTGTCCCTTCTGTCTTTTGGACATGGAACTCCATGCAAGCAGGGCCTTGATCTGGTGTTTTGGCACCTGGAGCAGAGCTAGTCCTCACATCAATGAGTGTGAGGCACTGAACTGCTCAGTTCAGTCAGGCCCAGACTGGTGTGTGGAAGCTGGGTTTCTGGCAGGTGCGTGGAGCTGAGCTCCCTGACCCCCACCCTTGGCTCCTCTGCTCCCCAGGCCATTCACTTGGACATGCAGTTGGGTGAACACACCAATGATTATACGGAACTTGCAGCCAATGACAAGCTGACCCTGCTGCATCTGCGCATACAGCAACTGGTGGAGCAAGTGGAGAAGATCCAGAAGGAGCAGGAGTACCAGAGGGTGAGGGGCTGGGCTGGGCCAGTTGGGACAGTGGATGTGTAACCTCCCAGGGAGTGGCTCTTTCAGCTCTTCCCCTGGGGGTCAATTCAGTTCTAGCCACACCTTCCTGTTCTCCCCTCCCACAGTGGCGAGAGGAGCGCTTCCGGCAGACCAGCGAGAGCACCAACCAACGGGTGCTGTGGTGGTTCATTCTGCAGACCTTCATCCTTGTGGCCACTGGCATCTGGCAGATGCAGCACCTCAAGAGCTTCTTTAAAGCCAAGAAGTTGGTGTAGATGAGCCCCAGAGACCAGAGGCTTAGCCCCCACTCATTCCCCTTCTGCTGAATAATGGGAAGTGGCCTGGCCTGGTCTGTCTCCTGGCTTCTCCCACCCCTCCCAACCCTGAGGGACTTCCTTGTTACTGGTGTGTGTGGGGTGGGGGACAGAGGACCTCTTTAAACTGGTTTCTGAGCCAGGACTTGGGAGAGGATGGGTTTCAAGCTGGAGACATATGGGTGGGAGGAGCTGTAGGCTCCTTTGCTGCTCTGTGAGACTGAGCAGGAGCGGGGTGAGTGTTACCCCAACCCCCACATTAAACAGGATGGGTGAACTAAGAGTGAATATAAATTATAACTGTCAAATTTTCTGACCTAAATATTTATTGCCTCCTACTCTGCAATTCATTATATGTGTCCAATCAGATGTTAATATTTGAGGCCCTGCATGCGTTAGTGGGGGACTGATCTCAAAATGGATGAGGTGAAGAATACTTTTACCCCAGAAGCAATATGTGGAACCTTTTCCAGAAAAGTCCAATTTGGGCCCATCTTTTGGGTAACCTGAATGCTGGTGGTGATCCTGTGCCCAACCCGCCTTCTCTCTCTCTGGGCTCTGGTCAGGCTCATGTGCTATCCTATTCCAATCACCTGGACTGCTGGGTTCTTCAAGGAGTCTGATGGGCACCTCTGTCGTCCTGCTATTTTTCAGTTGACCTCTTTCTCTTTTTATGATGCCATTGGCTAATCCTTTCAGGAGACGCCTAAAGATTCCAAGTCAATGTTTCCATTACATTCAGCATCTCCTGTAACTCAACCTTCACAAGTGCACACAGGGGTAGATACCCGCCATTGCTTCTGCCTGATCTAGTCCACATTTTACCAAGCCCTATGTTGGTTGCCCTGTTGGATTATAGCCATCTCTCACATGAATTTGACATTTTCTGTTATAAGGAAATTCACTGGTTGGCACCCTCAATAAAATCAAGTCCAAATCGTCAATGTCAGGAATATCAATGAGGGAGACTCCCCATAGGGTGGGGCAGCTGTGAAAGCCCTGGCCCCTGAGATAGATGCACCCTCCCCTAGGATACTCCTGAGGGATGACTGCAAGCCTCAGGGGTGCTGCTCACTGGTGTGTCTGGCCACAATTAGCCTCAGAAAGTATAAGTGAGACTTAACTGAAGGCTGGGGGCGGGGACCACTGGAGAGTAACCTCTAACCAGAGAATGTGACCTTAGGGTCACTTCCCTTATCTGAAGCTGGGGGTGGGGGTGGGGAGGGTGCTCTGCTCTCTGCTGCAGGAGAAGCACAAGACCCAGGTGGGCACATTCTTGCCCATGGAACCTGCGGTATGACACCAAATGAGGCAGAATGTTGAACAAGACGTAGGGTGATGTATACTTCTGAGGAGAAGGGCATGGGCTAAGGGCAATATGTCAGGAGTCCTGGCCTAATCTAGGTAGTAATGGAAGGCTGCTTTTTAGAACTGAGACAGAGGATAGGAGTTAGCTGGGGGAAGAATGTTCTGGCTAGAGGGAATAGCACATACAGAAGCCCTAAAACAAAAAAGCACATGGCTATTTGGGGAAGCTGAAGGAAGGCCACTATAGCAAAATCCCAACTCCAGAGAGGCTGCCTGCAGCCTGCTTTCTAATTTATGATTTCATGTCTAGGACTTGCCTCTTCCCCAGTGATTAACCCCAGAATGACCATCCTTTTCAGAGGAACCCTGTCCTCTACCCACAGAGGTGAGACCTTATCCTGACACTTCAATAGGGAAACAAGTCACAAAAGAGCAACAGTGAGTATATGGGAGAGCTGCACACACACAGTAGAAGAGAGTTCCCCATCCATTTCCACATGAAACCTTCACAGTCACTCTGTAGAGGAAATGGCATGTGTCCCTAATTTAGAAAAGAGAGCCAGCTAATAATGGATGGGCCATGCTGAAACCTGGTCAATTCAACTCAGTTCTTGGTGTTCTTTTCTCTGTTCTGGCTACTTTTCTCCAGGTAGGGGAAAGACCTCATACAAAGAGGTAAAACACACTGCCTCTGATTTTAAAGAACTGGCCATTTGAATTTCTAGTTTCTTGTGGCTACCATAACAAATTATCATAAAACATGGTAAATTAAAACAACTGAAGTTTATTCTCTCACAGTTCTGGAGGCCAGAAGTACAAAATCAAGGTGTCAGCAGGGCTGCACTCCTTCCAAAGGCTCTTGAAGAGAATCCTTCATCTTCTTCCAGCTACTGGTGGCTCCAGGTATTACTTGGCTTTTGTCTACAACACTCCAATCTCTGCCTCCATTTCCTCCTCTTGTGTCCCCTCTTCTGTGTCATATGACACTTGTCATTTGGATTTAGGACCTAACCAGGTAAGCCAGGATGACCTCATCTCAAGGTCCTTAAATTAATTATATCAACAAAGACCTTTTTTTCCATATAAGTTCATATTCACAGGGTCCAGGGGTTAGGGCATAGGCATGTCTTCTGTGGAGCCATCATTCAACCCACGACAAAGAGCAAGAAGTGTACGCCTGATAAGGTCCCATGTGATCTAACAAATGGGGTACTCAGAGCTCTCAGAATTCGGAATGGGGTGAGACCTGGGTGGATGGATGGATGGATGGATTGATGAATGGGAAAAGGGATGCCAAGGAGGTCTTTATAAAAGAGAGAGTACATGAGTAGAACATTGAAAGATGAAATGGTTTAAATATGAAGAATAGGGAATGAATTCCATTTTGGGGAAATGGAGCCTGTAGAGATGCAAATGTACAAAAGATTTCAATATAATTCAAAATATAATCCAATACCCATGAATATATAACACTGTAAGACAGAGACTTTGAAAAAGAAAGGAATCAGGAAAATAAGTGTAGCATGAGTAAGATGAAGACAGGAGGAAAGTTAGATCAAACAACGGATGGAAGTGAATATACCTACTGCAAGTTGGACAACTAGAAGTAGGCTGTTATCAGAGGCTGAAGACTGGTGACCTGCAAGTATATTGTTTGTCCTTTTTGTGTGTTATTTTTTTTCAAATTATTTGACAACAGTAACAGTGCCACAGTTTCTGTAGTTTAAATTTTGGGATATATTGGATAGGCAAACTGGTTGGATGAAAGAGCTTGGAGCTGTTTTGCAACACTCGACTTGACATAAATGTGAGAAAATGACAGTTGTGCATATCCAGGAGGCATGATAAAGATTATGAGGAAGGAGTGGGCCTCTCTCCCTGGAGAACACTGTCTTAGACAATCACTTATGAATAAGAGAGACTTTGTGGAAATCCAGGTTTCCAGAAGAGAAATTCCAGCACATAGTTGGAGCAGAAAAATACACATTTGGACACATTGGAGAGGGTAAGAGGAACAGTTTGACTTTACCTGCATTACCTGTCCCCCAAACTGGCACAGCTCAATGCTAAGAAATCATTTTCTTGGTCAGTGATTTCTCCTTCAGGGTAAAGTGAGAGTGTGTGAGTGAACACCCAGCTTCTCCAGCAGTGTGAGATCCTGTCAAAGAGGTCATTTCTCTCTTGCTCCATCCAGAGTACTGAGTTGTGAGCTACATGACATGGGGGTGGGAAGAGGCTGGGTGAGAGCACATAGGACCCTCAGAGGACATTAAAGGGACATGGGTCCTACGAACTGTCATGAGCTGCTGGGGACACTTTACCTTTGAATCCTTCCAAATGGCCCACAGGCACTGCCGATGCTCCATGTGCCTCATCTACACACCTCCCTGTGGCTTATCTCCCCGAATGCACTCCTGATGGTGGTGAGAGCAAGCTCTGGCAGACAGTAGTGAACATGTGTAGAAAGCTTGCCTAAATCTGCTGGCCAGGAAGAGACCACAAACTCGAGCTTTAGCTCTATCCTTGCAAAAGCAAAAGAGAGTCTGTCAGCCTCTGGCCTGGTGCATTGCAGGATGGAGAGAAGGCATATAAGCTTAAGAATTCTGTCACAAGAGACAACAAGGAATGTAGAGTAGGCATATCCAGAAACCTCAGAATCCCTAGCAGGGCTGACAGAAAGTATTTCTCTCCCAAAGTCAATGAGTAAAGACTGGAGGAGGTAACTGCTACTTCAAATGTGAAGACAGCATCACAAGACTTCAAGGAACATGAAAAATCAAGGAACTATCACACCACCAAAGGATCACAATAATCTTCTGGTAACCAATACCAAAGACATGAAGATCTATAGTTTTCCTGATAAAAAGTCAAAAGAGTTGGGTTTTTTTGTTTGTTTGTTTGTTTTGCGGTATGCGGGCCTCTCACTGTTGTGGCCTCTCCTGTTGCAGAGCATAGGCTCTGGACACGCAGGCTCAGCGGCCATGGCTCACCAGCCCAGATGCTCCGCGGCATGTGGGATCTTCCCGGACCGGGACACGAACCCGCGTCCCCTGCATCGGCAGGCAGACCCTCAACCACTGCGCCACCAGGGAAGCCCCAAAATAGTTGTTTTAAGGAAGCTCAATGAGCTGCAAGAAAACATAGAAAGACAATTGAACAAAATCAGGAAAATGTTACACAAATAAAATGAGAACGTTAACAAAGAGAAATCATATAAAAGAACCAAATCAAAATTCTGGAGCTGAAGAGTACAATGAGTGAACGAAAAGTGCAATAGAGAGCATCAACATCAGAATGGATCAAGCAGAAGAAGGAATCTGGAATTAGAAGACAGGACCTTTGAAATTATCCAGTCAGGGAGAACAAAGAAAAACTAATGAAAAAGAGTGAAGAAAGCCTATGTGATCCGTGGGATAATATCAAAAGAAACAATCTGCAAATTATTGGAATCTCCGAATGAAAAGGGGGGCGGGAAGCAGAAAACTTACTTAGAGAAATAATGGCTGAGAACTTCCCAAATCTGGGAAGAGATTTGGCTATCCAAGTTCATGAAGCTCATATGGTCACCAAACAATTTAAAGAGATCTTCTCCAGGACGTATTGTAGTAAAATTGTCAAAGGACAAAGACAAAGAGAAAATCTTATAAGGAGCAAGAAAAAAGAAACTTGTAACTTATAAAGGAACCCTCATAAGACTATCAGAGGATTTCTCAGTAGAAACCTAACAGGTCAGGAGAGAGGGGGATGTTATTTTCAAAGTGCTGAAAGGATGAAACTGCCAAGTAAGAATACTCTATATGGCAAAGTTGTCCTTCCGAGATGAAGGAGAGGTAAAGACTTTCCCAGACAAACAAAGCTGAGGGAGTTTATCTGAGGGAGTTTATCACCACTAGACCTGTCTTGAAAGAAATGCTGAAAGGAGTTCTTCAAGCTAAAATGAAAGGACGCTAATTAGCAACATGAAAATACACAACATACTGATAAAGGTAAGTATATAGTCAAACTCAGAATACT